TAATCAAGAACTTTGCAAGCCTTTTCACTCAGTGCATTAATATAATATGAAGCAGCCCGTTTTTGGGGCAAATGGATATCGTGACGAATCTCACAACTCAACTCAACCTTTCCCCTCGTCATGGTCTCAGCATGACTGTTCACTGTCCGGCTTTGGATCAGAGCCAGGATGAACAGCCTTGTTTCTGCCAAACCGGGTTGCAGGCTTGGCTGCCATGGAACAATATGCGCAGAGGACAGCACAGAAATGTAAATGTGACCCTAGTCGGCTCTGAAGCAGGCCCTGTTTCACAACACTGATTCACTGTTGTTTACCTGATTACTTTACTCCCTGTAACCCTCTCATTAAAGACTGAGAGTAAACATTCAGCATCGGCCCATGACGCTGTCCACTGCGCTGTACACGATCAGTGACTCATCTCCTCTACAAAAAAAAAAAACACAAGCGAAAGAAGAAAGTCATCTTTACTGATGCTCATCCGTTCTCATAACGTTTCCGGTTTATAGTGTGCAAATAAATGCTTTGTTGTGTGGCCAATATTTTGGTATCCGTATTCTTTTTCTACAGGACTGTATCTCTTACTGCATGTCTTGCATGTCTCTTATCAGATGGAGGCACTTAGAGTTGTTTGTGGTCACGTTTATGCGTATGAGGGACACAAGCGTGGGATTTAGCTCACTAGAAGAAAGGATGTTTTGATACGTTTTTACCTCCTGTTACTTCCATTGCCTTACAGTAAGGCCCAGTCGTAAAATCTCTTAATTGTTCTCAAAATGAATTGATGTTATCCTTTTGTGGAGAGGAAATGTTCACTTGGCTTCTCATTCTGTTGTAAATTAAATGTTTTCCAGTTGATGCGTACCTGAATAAAATACAACAGAATCCACTGTCTTTTTGTGTGTGTTGCAGATATACAAAACAAAAAAATATGTCAACAAACTGGGAAAGATGGAATAAATTACCTCAATTTGAAGGTGTGCGTGGCTAATTGAAAAAAAAAAAAAAAGTTGTATGAATAAAAATATATGTAGCAATTGTATATAAATCAGCTTTATTACCACAGGGTAGTCAATTACTGTTAACCTTTATATGTAAAAATTCTCATTTTAAGATTTGGCTTGGAAGACGACATCCAGAGAAACTAACAGACAAAAATGCTTTAATCAGCTTGTACTACTGCTGATTGCATGCTGAAATTCTTTAAAATACAGTAAATTATGTTTGGCTGTCAATGCATAAAATTTGTTCTAAAAATTGGGGGGAAAAAAAAAATTGCCCTGAAAGGGATTTCAACAATATCATTCGTTATCGTTATAGATGTGGTGTGGACTTATCTATTCTTGAGAAATTAGAACTTTCTTTCTTTTTAACATTCACAAAAACGGTAATTATAAAAATATCTAGATAACTATATCAGTGGCCGCACCAATGGACCATTCTGTTCTATTTCTGCTGCTTTAAATACTTGAGCATTTTTAAAGCAGGATGGATTCTGATTGGCTGTAATTTTTGTAATCGTTCATCAGCAGAAAAAAAATGTTCTGAAAGTGATTTCAAAGATATTGTTCGTCTGTGTCGTTATCATTATAGTTGTGATGTGGACTCTGCTATTCTCATAGAATTTGAATGATTATTAAAACTTTTTAGTTACTGTTATCTTTATAGTCCTTGATGTGAATAGGCCTATGCCTTAAGCCATTGACATATTTAAATAATATGAGATAATGAGATTTCTTTAACATCTAAATTTGTCCTCAGCAACAATGATTTTAACAAAGATCAGAGATTTCATTTCTTATCAAATTGAATTATCTTAAGTAGGCCTACTCAAGTTACCTGAGCCATATAGCCACATTGTCTCATTTGTGTTTATTCATACTTCTGCTAAAGATTTCAGGAGAAGCATGAGATAAAGTTCAAATTAAACACAACTGAGAACTCAATTATCTCAACTCCCCAGAGCGTTGAAAGAGACACTCTTCAGTAATAGCTTATTGGTAAAGGCCACTGAATGTATTCGACAGCCCTCCTTATACGTTCTCTTTAAAGAATGGACAATAAATAATGCTGAAGATCAACTATTAAGAGAAAAAAAGAGATCTTGTATCATTGCAATAATTTGGTTTGCGTATAGTCTCCATAAACGCATTCTAATCTCAGTGTGTGTGATTGTCTTCTGAGGTACCTGTTGCGCGTCTGTAGTTTGACCTCTCCGCTTGCCGTAGTTTAAATCCTCGGACCTCTGACTTGCAGTAAACTTCTCTACTTCCTGTTCGCCGTCCCACTCTTATAGACTGAAAAGGTGATGGTTTTGAAGGAAAGGGATTATATTTCGATTGATTTGGATTGAAGTTGAGCACAAGATGAGCTGGTATGTATCACAACGCTTATGTGGGTTAATAAATAATAATAACGCGGTTGTTTTCGGACGACGCGTAGTGTCGCTGACTGCGTCTCAAAACATAGTGAGCTGCCTACCTAGACTGCACTCCGAGCGGTCGAATACACCTAAATTGCTGTCTAGCTAGGCAGCGAGCGAGCTTTTGACACAGCGCCGTTGACTGGCTAGTGAGCTCGCGAGACACTATTCTAACATTGTTTGAGGTTACAAATGAGTTTAAACGTTACATAAACACTTAAAAACGATATGTAGGATTCCACATGTGTTTTAAATGTCCTGTTTTCTGTATATATAATTGTATTTCGCTTGTTAGCCCATAGCTCTTCCCCTAGTCTCAGTAGCTAAGTTAGCTCACAAGCCCTCGGAGTCTGAAGTATCAATGATTCACTTTTAATATATTTTAAAATGTGTATATAATGAATAAAGCTGTATTATTTTAAGCTACTTTAATTCTAAAAAAAGTATTTATTAAATGTAGGCACACTGATATGTGTAGCCTACGTCTAAATGTATGAATCATTTCTAATGGATTTGGCAGAGATTATGCATTTCAGTCTGTTTACATTACATTTTAGAACTTTTTTTATTCTGTATTCTTGTCCTAGAAATTAGTAGCCTACACTGATCTGAAGAACCTATAATGTAACATCACAAACTTTGAGTCCAAAGAACTTGCTATATACAGTAGCAGCTCAAGAGTCCCTATGACTCTAGATAACAAGAGGGTTCTTTGCTGAGGGGTTTTCAGAGAACCATTGAAGAACCTGTTGTTAAGTGTAGTTCCCTTCATCGGTCTGTCTTTCACTGGATTCCAGGAAACTAGAGACTTGTAAGCATTTGTTTTAGGTTGAACACAATGGACCACTGTCGACTTGTGTAGTTTTGCCCTGTCAGTTTGTTTTGCTTTCATCAAGATGTAAGAGATCTTGGGAAAGGCATTGCCATTAAACTACAAAGGTTTGACAGTTTTGTTTGTAGATAACATAATAACTTGCCATGGTGCTTTAACAAATGCACAAAGTGATTTTGTGATGATTTGCAGTTTTTAAGGTTGGTTGATCTTATATGTTCATCATGCGATTCATCGTGCTGTATTGTAGTCGTTGTGGCCTTTACAGTAACATTTGAAAGCTAGCATTCAGAATTACGTGGATACATATAAAAGTCTGTTTTTAAAGTCGAAATGTAACTGAAGTAGTGACAAACCTTTTGTTCTGTATTGATGTACATCTGGGTGAAGCAGATTATCAAAAAAGAAAAAATATATAAGGCACCTAGTGGGGACTTGGTTCTCATTGGTTGTTGATTGGATGGAGGTATATGACTGAGCTTGTAGTGGATTGTAAGAAAGAGACTGGGTTTAAGGAGGCAAAATGATTGGATGACTGGACTTCTCTAGTCATCTAATCTCCTTGAACCCAGTTACCAGTGAGAAAATCAAGGTATTTTGATTGAAAAGGTCAAAAAAGAAATGTACACTATGCATAGATGATTCGTTTCTGTGGGTCTTAAAAAGTCTCAATATGCCCTTCTACAAATGAAGGCCTAAAAAGGTATTAAATCAGAACATAAAGCCTTAAATTCCTAAAGTTATAGCATTAAATGTTGCATGCATTGCAAAAAAAGTCAATGTTGTCCCGGCATTTTTGTCTTGTTTTCCAGTACAAATATCTGAACATCCTTAAAGGGGTCCTATTATGCTTTTTCAACTTTAGTTAGTCTGTAATGTATACAGTTTATCTGTCAATGCGGTATTAAAAGTTTACCTTTGAGTCCATTAGCTGATATTTGTTCTCGTTTTAATCATAAACTCACTTAATTTTGATCAATTTCTCAGAAAGCAAGAGTTCTGATGATGTTATTTTAATTCTCAAGTTAATTTATCTTGATTTAAGAATCTTTGGACGTTTGCACTGGAAAGTGAACATCAGTTTGTTTGTTTTTTTTGCAGTAAAAGTTATGATTATTTCCATACTCCAGTGGTTGGAAGCAGAGTTATAAGCCTTTGTGTGTGTGTGTGTGTGTGTGTGTCTGTGTTTTGTAAAATTAATTAAAAACTAATTGAGATCTGATGGATGATCTAATTGAGATCTGGAAGATGTGTTTTCAAACTTTGAAGTGTTGCTACAAGACATTTACATTTAAAGATCATATTATTGATGTATTGTGTTCCATTCACTTTATTCCTTAAATTTTCTTTAGTCTTAAGTCTTAAATATACCATTATAAAACCTGCAGAAAGCCTGAATACAAGAAATAAATAGGGTGATGGCATGCTGACTTTAAGCATTCATGTCATAACGTAATTTCACTGCTTGCAGCAAAGCAGACTTGGCTTGTTAAGGTCACAGTTTTCAGACTGAACGATCGACATAATGTGAATGAACTTGCAAACCGAGGTGAAGATGAACAGACATGCATTTGTTTTGGCTCATGGCTTTGTGACCACACTAGAGCGATCTGCTACATGCAAAAATTAGATAATGTCACAATTCTCTGGCCACTCTGGCTGAAACGATTCAGCTTTTTTAACGTCACAGAATGTCAAAACGTCATTCTCTGTCCGATCTGAAGCAGAGAGGGGGACTGCTTTTATGGCTTTTCCTTTTGACATATTAAACATTCTACCATTTGCATTGTTAGAGGTTCGACTTCGGAAATTGAATCGGCGTCACAGGGTCCTACTGAAAGGTCAGCGTCCGGCAGAGGATGCTTCCACTAAAGTACGCTTAGTGTTGGGGTGAAGGCCCGAATGAGCCGGTGGTGAAAGGATCCTTTATGAGCCAGGCTGACCCGCTGCATTCATGCAGGGCCTCTTGCTAGATAGAGTGACGCGGTCGCTCTGACACGGGGGTCGCTGTGACAACAATTAACGTCAACCGAGTCGCTGTACTCCTTGTAGATAAGATCCCGGCGTAAAACTGCCGTCTCAACAGATAGAGCATCCATTAGCTGGCATCTCCGCTCGGGCTGCTGTGTAGCGTGAGTCAAGTTTGCCTGTTCTCGCCGTAATTTCTGCTGCAAGTCTGAACGAAGCTTTGTTCGCGCGTCTGTGATCATGCTGATAGCGTAAAGCCTTGGATTTCAGAACAGGCCACTTTTCATTAATCGGTGTCTCTGTGAATGGAGAGGATTTTGTTTAAGTCGTCATGAAAGCAACAGGAATCATTTAGTCTTCTTCAGTATCTCTGCAGAATTACCAGTAACATAATGCTTTATTTGAATACTAAAGGTCACATCATTTGGCCAATAGGTCAGGCCTTGAGCATGAATGTCTATGACTTCCTTTTTCAGATGAAATTATGAATCTGAGATTTGGGGCATAAACTATAAAACATTTCTTGAAGCATCTTGGAGACGTTGCCACAGTTCTTCTGGATTGAGTCTGTCTCAGTTTGTTCTGTTTCTTCGTGTAATCTCAAGACAGACTGGATGATGATCAGATCTCTGTGTGGAGCACTGGCTGCTGTCAGACAAAAATCTCACTGGATTATTACAATTAATGTTTGGAAATGTAAACTGATATTTCCTACTGACACACTACAGCAAAAGATAAGAAATAACTGACTTAAAACCATTTTTAGCTGGTGAAAATACTAGTGTTCTAATAAATTTGGCCACCGCTGTTAATGCGAGTGAAATTAGGTTGGGAATCCTAACTAAACAATTCATATTAATCAGGGCACGACAGTTTGGGTAATATTCCCTACCTAATTGCAATTGTGATCTAAAGGCATTTGGTGACTGAAAATAATAAATATTTAGCCAATATTGAGTACTAAAGCAATATAAAGTTATTGTTAACTTCTATTACCTGCAGAAGACTCTATTGAGTATGTGCTCTCCATTTGGAACACCGAGTTTTTATAAATATTCAGCCCCCACAAGGAGACGTTTTGTCCAGTACGAGCTGTGACTTAAAATGAGTTTGACAGCCCTGTTCTTGTGTTACATTTTCTAAGGATGTGCATTTGTTGATTGTAACTTTCTTTAAGTTCATAACTGAGCTCTGAAGTTTGCAGGCTGTTTTGCTTGTCGTGACAGAGGTTTGTCTTGTTCGTTCTCTGTTTTGGCTTGAAATGGATCTTACAATATAACCAGTCATGACACCATAAATTGCGTCACCCTTCCATGTTAATCTTGAGTTTCCTGACCAGCCACTACTGTGTTGCACACAAATTTTTCGCTTTGTCGGGTTGGGAAATCCCGCCCACAGTGAAGACTCAGTGGTCCAGAATTCTGCTCCACATAGCTGTATTAGGCATCAAATATTTTCTGTTTGTCATTTCACCTCATAGCTGTATGTCAGTGTCAGTAGGACGGTGTTAGAGAGTATATTTTAACTGTATAAACTTGCATTGAGTTGCACAGTTTTAATTACAGTTTCTAAATTTTCAAAACTAAAACAAAACTACCAAAAATACTCTGACAGTGGCCATCATGTGACAGTTATCTCTTCAGACAGCAGCTGATGTCCATGGTTTCTACACTGAATTTGGATGGTCAACACTGTAATTAACAGATTAAAATGGAAGGTTAATTACCGCTCATTATGTCTTGTTTTGATGTCCAAAAGGCGCCATTGGTTGACATAATAAACTCAGTATTTAGCAGCAGAAGCAGCAGCGTCCCTGTAATGATATCATGCACAAATTTGCAAACCCGAAATGAACTGATGCCACACAGGATACTATTGTGAACAATATCTCCATAAATAATATTTCATATTCTCTCTCACTGTACCGCAGACAGGAAGTTCCTGCAATACACCCCTGGTATTTTCCCATAATTCTTTAAATATATCTGATGTCAGATTACTTGAAAGTTTGATGCTAAAAGCATACATAGAAAGGCATAACTGTCATTTATTTATTTACTTATTAATTTAAATGGATTAATTATTTTTGATAATATTTATAAAATATTTTATTTATTAATTTAGGACAAATTTGAATAAGTGCCTGCTTGCT